CCCCAAAACCCCAAAACCCCAAAACCCCAAAACCCCGGTAATTACATAGATTATTGAATTATATGATTAATTCGTGATGTAAAATGCTGAAAAATTAGAAGTTGCTCAACTCATGCTGTTGGTATTGGATTTTGCTCAAGATATTAATGAGTTCATTAATTTTCTCGAATGATGTGAGATCCCCAACTGCTGGCGTCTGACTCTCATTAGGCTTCATAATGTCTTGGATATACATTTTTAGCTCTTCATCACTTGTGCCTTCATCTTCCATGCATTTTTCAAAGAATTCTTTCATTTTCTTTTCTCAGAGTTTGAGCTTGTTCTCATCATTTAATAAGCTAATAGCTTTAAGTTCAAGTGACTCTATTGAAGCTTCGATCTCTTCTCTTCTGTTGGTTTGGTCACCGTCAAAGCTTGCATTAATATTTTTAGTTGTGTCTGACACTTCAGATCTTTCATGACTATGTCTTAGATCATCTCCAATGCTATAATTTGACCGATTTCTCGCTCTATAAATATCAGTATCAAGGAGAAGATCGTCCTCCTCTATCAAGGAGTTCATGCTATGTTTGATATCCCTTCTATCAACTGAAAGATCACTTTCTGTAAGAAAGCGAATGTTTTGGTCAAATCCATTGTTCTCATTTTCTTGCTCATTCTCGATGAGATCCTTGTTGAAATCTTCAATAGCTTTGGAGAACTCCAACGAATTGTCAGATCTCTCCTTAGAGATCTCGAAGGGAGGCGTAAAGTCTCCTTTCTCTGGTTTCTGAGTCTCTCGAGTGTTGACCCCTTCAGAAAGACGGATATTCTCCTTCTTTTGTTCCTCCTTCCTAGACAAGAGCTTGGAGGGCAGAAGAATGTGAGATTTCATTTTAAATGTCTTGGATGTAATCTTTGTTTGGTTTCGGGATTTCAGTTTCACCACTCATGAACTTTCTTCGTTTTGCTGATTCTTTTCTAACTCCTGCAACTTTTGCCAGTCTTTCTCATTCTGGTATGACTTGGCTAGGAATTTATCATCAGAGTTAATTTTGATATTGTTTTTGTAAACATATTCATGAGAATCATTCAGACAGTCATTCTCTCGAATTGGTGAAAGCATTCTCTTTGGGTTATTTTTGGTTGTGATATCTCCAATAGTCCGAGTTTTCATCGAAGCTTTTGGGATAGAGTTATGAAACCCATTAGGAGTTTCGTCCCCTACTTCTCATAAGCCCTCTTCATCATCGCTCTGGTTGATTATCTTAGACTCTGTTTTAAGGTCGATTCTTAATTCCTTTGCTTTCATTGCTTGGAGTTCTTTTCTGATTTCGAATTCTTCATCTTCCTCCGGGTCATCTAAATGGTCCCCTTCTTCTTCAATGTTAGGCAGTTCATGAAGCATCATGTCCAGGTCACCTGCATCATCGATTACTTCATCGAAGAAGTTCTTCGATTCCGTAGCCGTCACTGTAGAGTATGGGTCATGTCTTTGTTCAACCTCGCTTGGTGTTGAATTCTTCTTATTCTCTTTCATTTTAGATGGCTTAAGTCTCTTGGGTCCAAAGTTGGTAGATCTTGGCCGGTTTTTGTCAAGCCTTGTCCCTTGTTTGCCTGATTTAACCTTCCCTTTGAGAAGCATCTGACCTTGCTTTATGTTGAGATTTGCAGCAGTCGTATTTCTTCTTTCAGGAAGCTTATTTCTACTATAAATATCATTTCTTCGCTTCTTTTGACTTGTTTGTTTTCTGTCTGATTTGAGCTCTTCTTTGGTTTTAGAAATATTTTTGGATTTTCTTGCATTGAGCCCTGATCTGATGTTTGACCTACTACTTCGATCTCGAAATCTTGTGTTGCTTTTAGGGGTAATAATCTCTACATTCGGTCTTGACTTGCCTTCAAAATCCTTGCTACTTTTAAGATTTCCTCCATATTTTTCGAATCTGACTGGATGGTTGTATACAGAGACAGATCTTTTGTTATTTCTCGCTGGTTTGACGAATTCTTTGCTATCATTAACTTCTCTCTTTTTCTAAAACCTAAGGATTTAATGATTACCTTAAGGACGTCTTCAGGAGTTTTCTGGCTACTTTTACTACATTGTGAAAACCTTTGCTTCTGGCCAGAGTCATCATCTTGATTCTTCTTTTTATACATCCTAAGGACTTGTTTCTGTATCATCTTGCCATATTGCTTTCTTTTCTGGAGTGCAATCTTTCTCATTTCTTGTTTTTCCTTCTGAACGATTCCGGAGACAAAAACATCGTTGATTGTAGATCGGATGGCCCTCGCCGGTTTGGTCTTGCTTGAAACTATTTTGGGCTCTTCCTCTTTAGACTCGTTTAGATTATTTCCGGGATTTTACTTTTGAGAGTTTGATTTCTTTCTTCTCATCAGAAAGCTTGAATGGACCTTCTGGGCTATTTTGATCAGATAACTTTCTTACCTTGACGCATGGGTAGACTTGATATCTTGAATTTCAGATCTAGTTTTAGGTGGAAGATTGTTCACCTTGCTCTTTACGTTATTGTACTTCTTTGTAAGATCACTTCCTCTAATAGTCCTTTTAGAATTATCTAATTTAGAGTCAGATGTCATTTTAAAGTCTTCATTATCAAAAGCGCCTCCTGTGACTTTGAGACCACGTCCAGGTACAAGTACTTCCTTGGGTCTAAGAGGTAATGCAATTCTTAGCTGAACCGCCTTCTTCTGGAAAAATGGATGTAAAATAATTTCTTTAATAGATGGTCTTCTATTACAATTCTTTGTTAGAAGCCAATGAACCATATCCGATAGATGTCTAGAGAACTTCTTGGGAATCCTTTTGTATTTTCCTTTAATAATTTTTACCATAAGTTCAGCTTGGGTTTTTGCTTCAAATGGGTGCTTTAGAGCACAGATTTCGTAAAGAATTCAACCAAGCGACCAAATATCGCATTTATGGTTATAAGGTTTGTCTTCTCACACTTCAGGAGACAGGTAATAGGGAGTTCCAACCTTCTTGACTAAGAAACCTCCGTTGGGGTTCAAAACAGTGGCCACTCCAAGGTCTCCGATTCTGACTGAGTTGTCCATTGTGAGGAAAATATTCAAAGTTTTTAAATCACGGTGAAGTACATTATTTTGAATGCAGGGAGTAAATCCCCAGACAAATTTGAATGAAGAATTTCCAGGCAACATTCTCGCTGACATACTCCTTGAGCTTTATAAGGTAATTACAGAGATCTCCATGCTTGCAGTACTCCATAACTATGTTTATAGAGTTCCCCTCAATGAAGGAGTCATGGTATGTCACCTAAAGTGTAAATGGACTAGATTATACCACATAGGGAGAATCTATAGTAGCTTGTACTGATATCTCCTCAAAAGCATCGAATGACTGCTGTGTTGTCATAGCTGTTGTATCTACTTCTTTAATCACATAGTATTTGTTTGTGTCTAGAGAAAATTAGCGAATAAGTTTTAGTTGGGTTTGACTATTTTGTGGGAAATGAGCCTTTTGAGTAATGAATTGCGCTAACCATTACTATATAAAATCAGAGAATTCTGAATACTATTTTTAACAGTTTAGGATTTTTAGTATATAATAAGGATATGTTTTTGATCTTACTTTTATTTCTAACTTTGTATACTGTTCCAAAACTTCCTCTTCCAAGATTCTCTACTTTTTCATATTCATCCCATGAAGGGTGAGCCTCTTCCATCTATACTCTCAATTAATCCATTCCTCTCGAATTTTCACTTAATTATACTCAAAAGACATCAAAATTAGATTCCATAAGCTTATCCTCTCTCCAAAACCCTCTATCTCATCTCTAAAACTAAAAATACCTAAAATACCTAAAATACATAAACCCATTACCTTTTTATTTATATTATTATCTCAATGAGACTTTATTAAAACGGGGTTTTGGGGTTTTGGGGTTTTGGGGTTTTGGGG